AAGTAATTCGGGAATTACAAGATTTTGCTGAAAAAAAGTATAATGCAGAAGAAGCAAAATGCCCACAAAGAATTGTTCGTTTATCAACTAATAATGGATCAGGATCATATAATAATTCCAACAAACAGCCTAGAACTTTTAGTGATATAACCAATGAGAAACATGTTTTTATAAGGTTTGTTTTATGGTTATAGGTTTGTTTTATAGTTTTTTTTATATATATAAATGTGTAATACTTAAAAGGATACTAATAAATTAAAATCAAATTAGAATTCACATGTGGTTGGTATGGATTCTTAGTGCAGGAGCAAGACATTTCATAGAAATTTTTCCTATGAACTTATTAGATGATGAATTGAATTATAACTTGGAACATCAGATTGGTTAGTATAAAATAATATATTTATAAGAAAAAATAAATGTGCATATTTTATATGAAATTGTATTTCTTATTTTCTAGAAACTGAAGATGGATTTACTTTAGTAAATGCTAAATTACCTATAAATTTAACTTTAAACTCAAATGAATCAGAAACAACACTTGAATTTTCAGAAGTCTTAGGAAAACCCACTACATTAATACTTAAAGATTTAAGAGCTGTATTAGGAAAAGATCAATTTAGGCAACTTTTATATTCTAGTTTAACAGGTGTTCAAATTTTAGTAAGAGGTCCGAATATTCAAAGATTGGAATCTTTATATGGTCTTAGTTCTCTTATTCCACGTGCATGTAGAAGAGTCAAAACTCATGCAACAGAATATATGGATCCTAATAAGTGTAACTTTATTGGTACTTATATATGCTTAGAAAAATACTAAATTATAGGTATTATATCAAATGTTTTATAAATAATTTTATTCTAGGTGTTGATACATCAGTAGCTGTGCCTTTACCTTGTGTAAATGTATGTAGATTAGATATTGTTGCTGATGAACATAAAGTTGAAAATTCAAATTCACATATCGTCAGATGGGCAGGTACATTACCATTAAAGTTACCAACATTATTAACAAAAATTGAAAAATCACTTGAAAATGAGAAACTTGGAAATTCTGCCCTGAAAGCACATTTTGCTGCATTACAAGAAGAATGGGCAAAGTATAATTACATGTATATTTTATATTAATATTGAATAATTGATTTTTTAAATTAAAAATTTTTCATTTTAATTGTAGTATTGCCAAAGTAGTTCATGCCATGCGAGGACGTGGTCATAATGGAGATCTTTCTGGTCTTATGCTTAGTTTAGGTGCTGGTCCTCATGATAAGAAGTTATTAGATTCTTGGTCAATGGGCTTGCCACCAAATCCTGCATAATTTTTAATTAATTTGCAATATTTTATGTATTGTAGAATATTGGATAGTATCTAATTTAAAATGTAAGGTATTCTTTTATTGGCTCATGCAATATTTATGTATTCAAGGTTGTGCATCACATTTTATTTATATTATAATCAATACATAATAAGTATTGATATTAGTGTAAAATAAATTGCCTGACATGCATTATTAGTATTTAAGATTTGGTATCCATTTTTATAAGATAATATATTTACATAAAACTTTTTGATAATATTGATGTAAAAATAAACTTTATATATAAAAATTGTTTAATTTTAAAAAGTAAGTAAATGTTTTTCTTTTTGTAGTAATAATCCTTTAGTTTACATAAATTTAATTATATAAATTATATAAATAATATATAATAATATTTAGATAAAAGTTATTAATACTTTTGTTTATATGTAATTTAAATTATTATTTAAATTTAATAAATTTTTCTAATTCCAATTTTTTACATTTCAATCTAAGTTTTTAGAAAATATATTTGGTTTATTTAATATATACATTTAATATTTTGCTTTAATAATAAAATAAAAATATTTTTTGATGATACTATACAGTGATTTAAAAAAAAAATTAAATTTGCTTTTTATGTTTAATTATAATTTTATTTTATAATTATTTAATATTAATTAATACTTGTTAATATATTGAATTTATTAATAAATTTATATATCATTCGAAACATTTAATAAAAATCTAAAATGGAAGTTCCACAATTTAAATACAATCGCAAATCATTTAAATTCGAAGACTTTAAAAAATTTGAAATTTTTACACAATGTTCTAAACAACAATATTGTAACATTTATAATGCAAGATTAAAAGCATTGAAAAATCACATTTTACAAAAAGTAAAAATTAAATGGGGTAAATATTTTATAAAGGTTATATTTATTATTGGTTTAGGTTATATTTATATTGTTATATTTTCTAATTTTTAATATTTTATTTTAGCGCATTATGAAATAGTTTCATTATCACAACTTTGTGAAAGAAATCAAAATAATACTTGTGTCATAATAGGTACTTTGTATAAACATCAAGAATTAAGACCATCAATATTAAATGAACTTAGTGAAGAACTTCAATTAATACCTCAACCGACTAGAACAAATTATGCATCATTTAAAGATATATTATATTTAGAAGATGAAACATTACGCATTAAATTGGTTGGGATTCATAAAAATATTCAAAATATAGTCACTGGTATAGTTTGCGCTGTATGTGGTCATGAACTGGAAAATGGTGCATTTTTAGTAAATATTATTTTTATATAATTTACAGAAATAATAAAAATTACAAAATAGATATAATTACAAATTAAAAATTATTTGAGATATAATAGATATTTTGTTTATAAAATACATTAATTACAGGTAACAGATTGGTGTTTTCCAGGATGTTGTCCGAAATTATCAATCTTTAATTCTCAACCACTAGAAAAGTTAGGAAAAATTTTGATCATTTCTGGTTTAGATTTAGCAAATAATTTACAGTCGTTAAGTATAAATTTATTATTTGAATGGATTACTGGAATGATTGGCTGTGAGGAAGTTCATAAAGAAGTGGCTTCTATTGTGTGTATTATTATAGCAGGTATATTTAATATATTTAATATATGTTAATGAAAATAATATTTGTAATAAATAATAAACAATATTTTAATATAGGAAATAGTATAAGAGGATCTATAGAGACATACAGTTACAAAAATTATTTTGAAACTAAGTTACATAATGAAGCTATATTTAAAGAAACTGCAAATGTAACACATAAATTGGATAATTTTCTTCATTCTATAGCACAGTGTTGCCCTATATTATTAATGCCTGGAGAATTTGACCCAACCTGTCATAGATTACCTCAGCAACCATTTCATCCATGTATTTTACCAGAATGTTCCAGGTAATACAGTTTTCTTACTAATTAATACAAAAACATTGCTATAAATCATATATAGAAATAATGTTATATTTATCTCCTTTATATATATATATATATATATATATATATAAAATTGAAGATTAAAATATTTTATTTGATTTTCATGACATTTAATTTCTTATTTTTGATTTTATTTTCATTTTACAAATATGTATATACTTATCTCCATTGATGATATAGAAGCAATATGGATTTTTGATTTATATATATTAATATAATTTTATTGTTATGGAATGATTAATGGTATTGTTTTTAAGATAACTATGAGAATATATAGTAATATATTAAATAGATACAAATTATTGACATATATATGATATGATAGGTTTAAAAGTTTTTATGGAGTTACTAATCCATGGGTTGGTAGTATAAACTCTCGCATTATAGCTGGATCCAGTGGCCAACCTATTATGGATATTATGAAAATTGCTGGACTTGTTGACATTTCACCTTTAATATGGTTAGAACGTACTTTACTTTGGTGTCATTATGCACCAACTGCACCAGATACTACTCCAACTTATTCATCTAGCAAAATTGATCCATTTATTATAACAGAATGTCCTGATATATACTTTGTTGGTAATATGGATAAATATGATACTAAAATATATACTGGTAAGTTTATGTCTTTTATATTATATTACCTTTATTATTATATTTTTGTATTTTTATTATACACTTATTTCTATGTTTATCATAAAAAAATAATTTTAGTAAAATAAAATATGTTTACAGCAGAAGAAGGACAAACAATAAGATTAATTTGTATTCCAAAATTTTCCAAAACACAAACTGGAGTATTAGTTGATTTACAAGACTTAAACACTTGGCCTATATCTTTTACTGTAAATTAATTTAAAATATTTTATGGTTTTAATATATTGATAAAAAAACAATAATGTAATATATAATAATATATCTATGTAAGAAAATCAATTTTCTTAAATGATTTTTGAGTAATTTGTATATAATAAATATATTATTTATTTTTTTAGTGAAAAATAATTTATTTGTTTAAATTTTTTTTATATTTTATGTAATAGTTTCTTAAAAATTAAATTTTATTTAGTATTGTAATTTTTCATAGTATTTATTTATTTATGGAAATGAAAACAAAAAAACAAAAATAAACACATAAGTAAAATATATTTTTATTTTTTCTTTCTTTATACATAAATATATGGAAAATAATATCGTTTAACAAATTATTATATATTCTATAAATTGTTCATATTTGTTAATTATTAATTGTTGTTAATATTTAATTCACACATAATTATAAATTATAGTGTAAGCATTTTTAATTACTATATATATCAACAATATAATTTATAATTTAAATAAAATATTTTTTTATATCATACTATTAATTTTTCTTAATATTATAACTTAATGTATAAATAAATTATAAATAATATATAACACAATATTTTATTTGAAAATTTAAAGTATGTTTTTTGGCACTATTCTTTAATATCACTGAACAATAAAATTAAAATAGATAAGATAAATATTAGATATAAATTTATTATTTTTTGATTTACTCTAAATTATTTAATGAAATATGTGAAAATAAATTCTTAATAAAAAAAATTTAATAAAATAATTTATTATATCAATATTATTTTTCCTATTAATATTAAGAAATATATTATATTATTTTTGAGATCTGCAATCGTTTTTAGAATTGTTTCTTTGTAAAGAATAATGATTTCAATAAATATTTATATTCTCCTAACTACAAGATTTTGAAGGAATTGGAATATTCATATTTAGACAAATATTCATATTTTTTGATGATTCTTGAGATTCAGAAATTTCTGATTGTGGATCTATAGCTTTTTCTTCATTTCTCATGGCACATATTACATCAGTAAGAGCAACTATATAATTCTTTGCCAAAGTTAAAGTTTCAATTTTAGATAATCGCCTTTCTTTCGATACATGTGGAATTACTTCACGTAAAGACTATAAATATAATTATTTAAATTTTCATAGAATGGAGTACTTTTACTAGAAATTATTATAACTATATCTACCTGGAAAGCATCATTCAAACTGTGCATTCTCATTCTTTCCCTCTCGTTGCTTTCCAATCTTCTAAGAGTTTTTTCTCTAGGTGTTGTTCCTTTAGATGAGTTTGATAATTTTAATTTTTCAGTTCGCTTACTGTTTCGACGTATTGTTTTATTAGCTTGTGATTGTTTAGGCCATTTTTCATTCCAGTTATCCCCGTTCATTACTTTTGATGTCATTCAAATCCTTTTTGAAAATATTATTATATGAAATCATTTTTATTTTTATTAATTATTTTAAACTTTAATAATAAATGATTAAATTTAAATAAATAATTGATAAAATGATTTTATAAATAATATTTAATAACTTAATTATAAGAAATAATAAATATAAAAAATAATATTTAATATGAAAATTAAATAGAATAGATATTTTATTTACAGAAACATTAAAATAATATTTATATACTTACAATTTATTAAAATACTTATTATGTGTTTTATTATTAACAGATCAATGAAGAAATAAAATATAAGAATGATAAATATATTTAAATTTTTTAATATTAATAAAGCATGTATATTTATTGCGCCTTTTTTCAATTTATTAATAAATAAGATTATAGTTAATTTACATTATACAATATATTTTCAAATATTTAAATCAAATATATACAACCGCGTGTACTTGTTGAGCCACGTTGAAATGACGACTGCCGTCGGGGTGCGGCCGAAACAGCCTTCCACCCCTGGAAACTATGCATCTACCCTGTGACTTTTTCTTAGTAATTTTTTAAAAATTATTTATTTTTCTCAAATTTTCATTTATTTATATAAAAATTAGTTTATAATGTAATATCTATTTGAAAAAAGAGTTATATCTTTAATTTGCTTATACTATATAATAATAGCAAGATTAAAAATTGAATAATATTCTTAATTATAATTTTTTATTTACGACATTATTTACAAATTAAAAATAGGATTTTTATATAAATGTATAGATATACGTAATAAAATAATGATTTTTAATATAAATTTGTAAATAATTTACAAATTCTAGTATAGAGAAAAATTTATGCAATGTATAATAATCATATTTGTATTATACACCTATTGTACAAATCAAAAGAGGATTTTATGTGTGGCTACAGGTGGGCGTATGACGTAATTCGCCCACGCGGGCCTTTCTATATTATTGTAATCATATGTTATCGTAGATTACATAAAATAGAAATTATTTAAATATAATAAATATACGATACATAAAATTATTAATTATTATTAATTAAATATAAATTATGCTTTATATAAGTTAAATATATTAAAATATATCGTAAAAAATAAAGCAAAAAATAACAAATATTTTTTTTATTAAATTATAATAAAAAGTTATTATAATTTCTTCATAGAAAAAGTTTAAAAAAATCATTAAAATTCTGATTTTATTATTAATTACTTTTTGAATAATAATAAATAAATATATATAGTAATATAATTTTTATCAAATTATAATACTTTTTAATAAAATTAAAAATATAGTTTCAAATAAAAAAATAACATTTTTTAATAATATTAAATTAAAACATTAATTGATTTTTATTTATGCTTTATCTTTACATTTACCACAACAAGTATCAATTTGTTTTTCTAATTCAGATTCTTTATAATTAGGAGTCCATGGTCCAAGACTAGTTGAAGCATAGAAATCCATAGGATATGGTTTATCATTGTTAAAGTTTATCATTTTTAAAGCAACTGCTCCTTCATATGGTGTAAGAAATGGTTTTTCAAAAGCTGTTCCCCAATCTATACTTAATCGTGGACATGCAATCTATAATATAAAAATTATATAATATGTATATATATTTATCATGTATATATATTAATATATTATTTATCATATTATATAATATTATATAATATAATATATTATATAAAAGATAAAAAATCATAAACCTGTATGAAAGCATCAATGTTCTTAAATAATTTAATTTTATCTGGAAATATTTCTGAAAGCAATATAATAACATTTTCTTTTCCTAATAAATTAATTTTATTTTCAAAATTCTTCAAAACATTAAGATTTCCCTGTCTTCCCAAAGTACCAAGTATCAATCCAAATCTTCTAATATTTTTTGCATATTTAATTGCTGTTAATCTATTTTCTAGCATTTGATCATAATTATAAAATTCTTCTGTCAATTTCTTTTCATAAGGATCATATCGAAATGCTCGTAATTTTGGATTAGCAATCATTGCTGCTTCTAAATGAAATCTGCCATCTCCTATATAAATAACTACATCAGCACATCGAATCTGTGGTGCTGTACAACCTAAAATCTTTATGTAATAATAAGTTTTTCTTATAATACAAATTATAATCTAATTATTTTTTAGTAAAAAAAGAATTTAATTTGAATTTATAATTTAATACCTCGCCAGGACTTAATGGTTTACTTTGTGGAGTAGATACTTCATAACCATTCTTTCTCATTTCCATTGCAATTATTTGTAATGCACCAGCAAATTGTATAGTACTTACAAGTCCAATTTTTGTTGTAACTGGTAATGTAGTTTGTAAACATTCAATACAATGTGAAGTATCAATTTTGATATTAACAAATATATAAAGTACTTTTATACCAACAGTTTGATCAATTGGTATTAAACAAGAATGTCCATAATGAATTAAAAAATCTGCATCTAATGCTTTCGCAGTATAATCATCTATACAACATGCTCCTATATTGATTATCAATTTGTAATAAAAAAAAAAATAAAGTTTGTAATTATATTATTACATATATATTATTACATAATATGTTCATAATATTTACATATACATATCTTATAAAAGATCAATAGATTAAAAATTATTTTTTTATTATTATATAATTTCTTACCATAAGTAACATCTCCCATTATAATAGTTTCTGCACCTGTAAAATTTTCTATAATATCAGCTATAGTTGTAGCATACATTAAAAGTCCTTCAGGCATTTGTAATGCAACTTTTTTCACTTTCAATTCTTTAATTCTCCATATTGATTTATGTATTTCAAAATTATAATTAGAAGGTAATGCAACAATTGCCGCATTTAATAATGGGTCATTTAAAATTTCTTCAGGAATTTTATTTATTTTTATTGGAGCTTTGAATATTTTACGAACTGATTTTGCTTTAATTATCACAACAGAATCAGATTCCTCACTCATAATTACAATCTTTTATTTATAATTATGATAAAAATTTATATTTAAATTTATATTAAAAATTTTTAATTAATTATATGAATATATTTTATATATATCATATAATATATATTCATAATTTATAATTTTATTTTAATTTTTTAATAATATTAATTTCGGTAAAAATCTGTTATGTAAATTTATAATCTGTTAATTAAATTTCATTTTCTTTTTCATTCAAAATTTCAAAAATAAAGAGAGGTTATTCATTATACTACCTTATTTTCGAAATCGAATAGACATGAATGACACCGATGTAGTAATGCCCTCTATTAAGATTGTAAAAATTCATACAACTAGTAAGTATGTATTTATATATATATATATGTATATATATATATATATACTTTAGCTATTGTAATGAATCTTTTTATTTGTAATAAAAATAAATAAATATTTTTATTTAATAAAATAATTAATAAAATATTAATGTTTAAGTAATATAAATCATCATAATTATTATAAATATAAAGTAACATATTTTATATCATTCATTCGAAAACAAATTATTAAAATAAATATATTATTCATATAATTATATAAAAAATCTATTTTGTGAATTTTAAATAATTTATTATAATATTTTAATTTTAATTTTCTTTAAGTATAATAAATTTTTTGTTCCATTAAAAAAAATTTGATAGGTCCCACCGAGATTTGAACTCGGATCGCTGGATTCAAAGTCCAGAGTGCTAACCATTACACCATGGGACCGATATACTAAATGTTTTTATTATTATTATTTTGTATTATAATTATTTATTTTAATATATATAGATATATTTATAAATATATTAATATGTACATTTTTCAAAATTATTTATTGTATATTAATTTGATTAAAAAATTATAAATTATATTATATTATTAATATTTCAAATATATAAATCTGAATAATAAAAGTTCTGCTAGAACATAAATATAAATTGATATAAACATACAATTCATGGATGTATTAAAATATTCAGATCTAAATCAAAAGAATAATATATGAATATTTAAAATTCTAATATTCATAGATTCGAATAGCAGTAAGAAGGATAATATAGTAAAAAAAATAAAATTATTTTACTCTATTTCCATCTTGTTTCATTTAATGAAAAATTCAATTATTTATAATTTAATAAACAATCAACTAACATTTTTATATATCAATTGTTCTTTTTGATCTCTAGAATGATTTTCTAAAGATTCTCAAAAATATATATTTATGGCTTATATATTCTTATACATTCAATATATATTTTATGTATTTAATATATGTATCTAAGAAAATTAATAAATAAATAAATATATATATATATATATTAACTATATATAAATATATAAATATATATATTAATTTAATATACATATATTAACTTAATCTATATTTAACTTGATTTATTTACTGAATCAATGATTGATTTATATTGATTTATATTATTTATATATATTTTAAATATAGAAATAAATAAATATAAAAAACGTTTAAAAAAAATTTGTTTATAAAAATATATATAGTTTGATAAGGAAATATATAGTATTAATAATATAATGTTAAAAATGAATGCTAGTAAATCATATGAAGATCAATTTTAAAACTCAAATAAAACTCATTAACTAAAAAAAAATATTAACTTATAAATATTAACGTATATTGAAAAATTATTAGAAAATATTTTAATTTGAATTTTATGAAATTTATTCTATGAAAAACAAAGAAAATATGAACGTATTGCTATGTATCGTTTCATGTGTCTTATATTATATTTTGCGAAATTATCATTTTAGACATATATTATAAAATCAAGAATATACACTTATATAAAATTATAAATTAAATTATATTACACAATTATATTATAGTTTTTAAAAAGAAAATATGTTAAAAATATGATAAAAATATGTTCAATTTTTATTCCGATAGCTTATATGCCAAAAAAATAAATAATGAAAAAAATAAAGATAAAGTAAAAATTGGAAAATTAATGCCATTTCTGAGGTGTCGCTAATGAAAATATACATAACACAAATATAGATAAGAAGATTAAATAATAAAAGAAAGATAAAGATAAAAATTGACTATGGGAAATCTTCTAAAAGTGACATCTTTTAAATATTAAAAACATCTCTTTAAAACATCATCTTTAAAAATACTTAAGAGATGGCGTTACTTTTCAATTTTTCTTTATGTCATCTTACTTTTGAAAAGTTGTCTTTGCTTCTCAAGAGGTGGTATTGATGGTATGTTCTTTATTTTTATTCTTCTCTTATTATTTGTCTATATTAAATTTTATTTCTGACTTTTTAGAGATGGCACTAAATTTTTATTCTTATATTAGTTGCTCCCCTTATTTATATTTATTTTATAAAATTTACAGATTATTATTTCTGATTAGTTTATTGTCTTTTTTGATTAAAATCTATTAATTAAAAATGTTTTATCAATTTTTTGTCTATATTGAATAAATTCTAATAAATACTAATATAATTCTAAATATATATTAATAATATATAAGCAATAACGAACATATAAATAAATTTTAATGGCATTACATTTAAATCCATTTTTACAAAAAAAAAATATATCATAAATTGATATTATCTTCATTGTGTTGTAATAAAAAAATATGAATTTAATTTTTATTCATATAATTTTATTTATTAAATTATTTCATATTCATATATTTTGTCTATTATTCTATTAACAATCAAAAAATTTAGATATAATTTAGTATATATTATGCATGAGAATATTTATGATATGAAATAAAATATAATAAAATGACATATCAAAGAAATTATTTTTAGAATCTATTGATTTTACTAATTTTTGATTGAATTAAAAGTACTAAAATGCTATAGAAACTATACCAAATATTTTAATTTTTTGCGCAATCGCAATTTCAGAATATAAAACACAAAATCCTATTAAATATATCTTATAATTCAATTTTAGAACAATATAATTTTATATAATATAAATATTATTAATATATTATAAATATTATAAATTTATATAATTAAATATTATATAATTTATAATAAATATTATAAATTATTAAAATATAAATAATTTTTTAAATTAATAAATTTTTTCTTCAAATTTAATGAAAATCTTAATGAAAATGCTTTGAATAATATTAATAATTAATAATCAATATCAATAACTTTTAATTTGCCTACATTAAAATTTTTTTATAAAATTTTTTATATATATAATTACAACAAATTTATGTTATAATAAAAAAAAATATTTTTTTATATTATACATATATTTAAATTATTTAAAATTATTTAAAATTTCTCTAATAAAATATTTAAATAATATTATATATATAATTATAATGTATATATATAAACTGCTATATTATACTGACAAAGAAATATTTAAGAACGAATTTTTTATTTATTGAATAATTGTATACTTATTACATTATTATTTATTTTATCATTAAATTATAATTTTTACACACTCAATGTTTGAAATTATAAATTAAAAAATTAATTAAATAATTTTTTTTTAATTAATTAAAGTAAATATAATATTTTTGCAAAATAATTTTTTTTGTATGATTCAAATTTAGTAAATCTATATAAATATTGTTGTTACATTTAATTATTATTAAATTTTTTTGATGCGTTTCTATGTTATATATATAATATATATATAACGTAATGATAAAAACGAAAATTTCGTTTTTAATTTATTCATCTTTATAATTTAATAATAACAATGATAAATATACACATAATATAGCGCTAATGTGAGCTAAAATATAATCTAAAGTAATTTTTTAGTCAGAATGTACATACTATATTTATATTAATGTTTTGAGATAGAAAGAGAGCAATAGATAGAATAAAAAGACAAGAATAGAACTGGGTTTGGCAAGCGTGGTGATTTTACACCTACCTTTTAACCGGACCGTGGCTGATTGTATTGTATTCGTTTTACGATACGGATCATGCTTGGCCCAGGTGGTTTCCCTAAGAAAAGTGTATTTCTATTTTACATATTATTGCAATACTTCATTATTGCTGTGACAAATTTATTTAATATTCTGTACAATCGAAGCTAGTTCTCAATAGTTTTAGATATCAGAAATATGAGATTACAAATAGTTGTGATATGTGTGTCGTAAAATTAGAACGTGTTACAATCTATTAGATTTTTCACTTTTTAGTCATGCATTTTTTAAAAAATTATAAATTTTTAAAAATGACTTAAATAGAGACTTTAAGAATGACTTAAATAAATCACGATCACCAGTTTCAATGCGCGATGCTGAATATTATATTATGTTGGATATGTTGGTTGTTTTGGGCGGGTCTTCCGATAATTACAGCCTATCCCGTATCATCGTCTATACGAACAGGTACAATAATTGTATATTCAATATTTATTTTGATAACATGTTATTAATGATAGGTTATTTTGCTTTTAATTTATCATATATTTTAGATTTATCATACAACTATACTTCATCAAAATGGGAACAATACTGGATACAATATACTCTTGGTCTTTTAAGTGTGACAGCTACAGCATTTACTTTAGTTGGCTGCCTTTGTTGTCGAAGACCTAGAAGACCTAAAGGATTTCAAGTAATTGTCATTTTTATATTACATATAATAAATAGAAATCCTTATTAAAATTTTTTATTATCTAAATAATAATTTATTCGTTACTAATTATAGGACAAAGCAGAAAAATGCAATCAGGTAAAATTAATATCACAAATTTTTTTAAAGATTTAAAGTTATATTAATCTGTAAATTTTAGTAAAAATTAATAAGAATATCAATTTTTTTATTTAAGTATTTGAAATATTATAGCAATTGGTTTTAGACAAAATTTTTTTTTATGTTTTTTTTCTTTTACATATTTATATATATTATTAATTACAAAGTGATAATAATTTATATAATTGTCATGAAAATATTTCATAATATTTATATGATTTATATTTTATGAATATAAGAAAAATAATTAATATTTACTTATATTTAAATATATAATAATCATGTATATTACAAAAATATGTATATTATGTATATTACAAAAAAATATTTTTTCTTTAAATATTAAAAACTAACTAACTTTAAAAACTAGTTGCATGTATTATTTATAAATTATTGTAGTATATAATGTAGTTTAATATATTTTAATTTTTTTTTAATTTATTTTTAATTTTCTATAAAAGTATTTGAAAAATATAAATGTAATTTTTTGTTATAGGAATTCAAAGATGGAAACAATATTGGTCAAGAATTAGTATTTGAGCATTCTCTTGAAGGTTTGGAGTTAAATGTTCCACATATGTTAGCTGTTTCAGAAAGAGTACAATTTGATCCTTTACCTGTAGAACATATTATATCTGGTGCTAAAAATATTTTAAAACCAAAGCCATTACCTTTATCATCATTATTTTTTGAAAAACATGATTCTGATTCTAATATTCTGCCAGAATATTGTCGTGAATGGTTTGATGCAAAGGATTTATGTGTATCTAGAGAAAAATTAAAATATTTAAGAGAAATTGGTCATGGTTGGTTTGGAAAAGTTGTAGAAGGCCGTGCAGATTTAGAAGGACATAAAAGGACTTCCAAAAATGGTGGTGTTGTTGTGAGAATTCTTACAGAAGAAGCTACTATGAAGGAAAAAGCTTGGTTTCTTGGTGAAGCTACTCCATATTTGAAATTATATCATCAAAATATTTTAACTTTGATAGGTTTTTGTTTAGAAACCGATCCATATTTATTATTATTTGAATCATGTTCAGTGGGTGATCTTAAAAGTTTTTTGTTATCAAATCGTGATAAAAAGTCTCAAGAAGCACTTAATAAAGAAAATATTCTAATTCGGATAGCATTGGATATTGCTGCTGGTTTAAAACATATGCATTGTAATGGATTTGTACATACAGATTTATCTGCTAGAAATTGTTTAGTAGCATCAGATTTATCAGCAAAACTGGGAGATTATGGAATTGGTGTAGAAAAATATCCTGAAGATTATTATGTAGTTGGAGATCGTGCATTACCTATTAGATGGTCAGCACCAGAAAGTGTAGAATGTACTGATACAACTATTGAAACTAGAGAAATTACATCTCAAGCAAATATATGGAGTTACGCTATTTTTCTTTGGGAAATTATTACATGGGGAAACATACCATACCATGATAAGAGTGATGAACAAGTAATTCAAATGCTTTTATATTTAAAATCAGATCTTTCATCAAATGGTATACAAGTATTGCAAACATACTTAGAAAATTGTCCATCAAATATATATCAAGCAATTTATTTAAGTTTAAATTTAAATCCACAAAAAAGACCAAATCTGGATGAGATAAGACAATTTCTTTTAAATCAGCATATAGAATGCTTAGATTTTGAACAAAGATGGGAAAATTTACGAGTTAATGCTAAACATGCTCGAAGTGCAAGTTTGCAAGATCTTAGAGGAAGTATTGATTCAGATTATTGGACTACTATTGTTGACGATACACCACGTCAATCATCATTTCGACTTGGACCTAATGAATTAGTAAAAAATGTACCAAGTATTAAAAATATTATTCATCATGAATCAAGCTCTGAAACTGAAGAAGAAAGTTGGAAAGGACGAATTGAACAGGGAGTTTATACTGAAAAAGTAAAACAAAAATCTAAATCTGTTACTGATTTGATGGTTCTTGTACATATCGATTTTGATTCTGATGTAGAATTATCAATGGGAGCTCAAATCTCAGAAAAATATGGAAAAAAAAAATTACCTGCTACTGGTAGTGATAGTGATCTTAGACATAGTATTCATACAGATGAATTCGATGAAACATTAAGAAAATTGCGGAATCCATTACCAAATAATACTTCTAACAAAATCAGTATGTTAAATACTTCAGAAAAGCCAAAATTATTGACATTAACCATGGATCAAACTCAAACTCCAATTTTGAGATTATCTTTAAATAACAAAGAATTTGATACTACATCTATTGTAAATACAATTACAGAAACACATAATGACAAACATGTACTAAGACTTCTATCAAAAGGAGATCCTAATCTTCCTCTTTTATGTTATGTACCTGATACATCTTCTGAAATATTAAAAAAAGATGATAAATCTCAATGTAATTTGTGTACATTTAAGCATGAAAATACTTTTTTTTCTAAGAATTGTTCAATTAATTATGGAACTAATGAAAACACTTCAGTTGATGTTACACTTTGGAATCATGCATTAGATTCTGCTTTAAAAAAGAAAATACCTGGTTTTTTAGATGAAGATGAATTCAATGAATATGCAGAATCTTTATTTAAACAAGAAAATAATATTGCACCAGAATTAATTGTAACTATTGAATCAAATACTTTGCAATCTCAGAAACACTATAGACATAATCCAGATAAATTCTCCAACGAAGAAGATATAGACATGAATCAGAGATGTTTATCAAATGAAGATGAAGAAGAAAGAAAACAATTATCTACTCCTGATGATGAACAAAGTTCTGATTCTGGATTTAGAGATAAAGAATCTTATGAAGAAGAAGAAAATGTTTATGCTTTAATTCCATCAACTTCTACTAATGATTCTACAATAAATATACCAATATATAATGAAGAAGAACAGTTACAGATTTTATTTGAACTAGATACTATTCTTGATGCAGAATATTATGCAACACTTCCTGTATCTGAAAAAATGATAGAAAACTTATCTTCAAATAATCATATAGAAAATAAAATTGTCTGTACAAATGAAGATGAATCTGATTCTATTCATACTGTAGATACTATAATTGAAATAGATAATAATGAAAATCTTACTTCTAATATCAATTTACGAGAAAATGATATAAAGCCAATATTAAATAATGAACAGACAATTCAATCAGAAAATATTAAAATTAAAATTGACGAAAATATTGAAATAAAAGATTTAAGTGATATTAATTCTTCTTCTCAACAAACAAATTTAAAACATTGTAATATTGAAACAAATATGAAATATTCCAAAGAAAAAGAATTAAAATATTTACAAAATAAAAATGAAAATGAAATTAAAAATAAAAACGAAATTAAAAGTAGAAATGAAAATGATATAATTATTAATGCAAATAAGTATGAAAATGAAAATGAAAAGAAATTTAAAAATAAAGATGAAAATGAAATTGAAAATAAAAATGAATATGAAATTGAAGACAGAATTAAAAATGAAAGTAATGAAAATATAAATAAATATGGAAATAATAATAAAAGTGATATTAAAAATAAAATTGAAAATGAAAAAGAAATAGGAAAAATATATGAAAGTAAAAATAAAAAGGAAATAGAAAAAAAAAATGAAAATGAAATTGAAGATGAAGACAGTTCTACTATGAGTTTACATAGTGATAATTCTTATGTATCGTTTGATATAGAAGAAGAATTTGTAACAGCAATTCGAAATGAACTTAGAGAAAAATTACCTTGTGCTCAGATGTCTGTTGTAGAACCACTAGAAGCTCATGATGATGATAATCCTATATCTAGAGATATAGATAATAAACAGTGGGATGATGATAGTGAAGAATCTTCTAATCAAAGTAGTGGAGGAGTGGGTATTTCAATAAGGTATTCATTTTAATTTTTTAATAATATAATAATTTATAATAATAATTTATAATAATAATTTATAATAATAAATTAATATTAAATATTAAATAATATTATTTAATATAGTAGTTATAATTTATTTATTATTTAAAAAACAATTTGAAAATTTGTTATTATTTGTTATTTAGGTATAATGTATATGATTCTCCCCTTAGTCCAATTCAAGAAGAAAGAGAAAGTACTCTTACTTCTGAATCATTAATATCAAATTCTAGAGATACATCAATTGCTTCAAAAGAATCTGTTGCTTCAGATGATATATTACTAGTTGATACTCGAACAAATAAAATGATTTTATTAGAAGGATTAGGAGAAAAATTGCAAGATGATGAACGAGATACAACTAATGGAGATTTGTCTGAAGAAGAAAATTTGGATTATAATTGTTCGATAATTCGTTCTCGTGATGATAAATCGCATATTATAATTGCAAGTTGTGGAGCACCCTTACCAAGTCCAGAGGAGGAATCTAAATGGCAACAATTACCATCATCTTTTCCATTACCATTACCTTTACCATTGGAAGATGATTTAATGTCAACAAGTTTTGGAACAGATCATGGATGGGGTACACAGGATGAAGATGAAGAAGAAGAAGAGGAAGAAGAGGAAGAAGAAGAGGATGAAAATAATAGTTCTAGTTCTGGAGAATTTGTTTGGAAAGTAAATACATTATAAATAAAAAAATTAAATTTATTAATAGAAATTTATTATTTATTATTAGGAATTTATTTTTCATATAATTAAATTCATGTTATTAATTAGAATCATTTTATATATAGAGATACGATGAATCACATATGGAACAAGTTCAAACTCGAAGTTATTTAAATAGTAATGAAGGAATAATATTAGATGCTGATGTTGAAGATGAAATAGATCTTGAGGAAGAAGGAGAAGATGAAGAAGAAGAAGAAGAAGATGAAGACGAAGAAGAAGAAGAAGAAGAAGAATTTACGCCATCAGCTTGGAATGCAACATTAGCACCTCATCGTTCTGCATTAAGATCTCCAGATAAAACATTAAAATCTGGTGTAAGTTTTATAATACTTATATTATATTTTTCATATTTTTTTAAATATAATAATTTATAGTTTTTTGTATTTATTTCTTCTGTCAGGATGAATCGGTGGGTATATTCTTATTTATATAGCAATATTCTTTGTACATTATATATACTACATTTAAATAAATTTTGTGCAATTGTTAATTTTTCATTAGGATCAAAAAAAAAGCGTGTGGTTTAAAAAACAACGTTATCATTGTGTATATGAATATCCTAAAGAAACTCTAGCTACAGAAACTCAAGAAGAATCAACTAATACTTGGGAATCTACTTCATATAGTGGTAAATTTATTTTTTCCCCTTAAAAACATAATAAGAATTATATTAAAATTGATTTATTATATATTATATATATGTAATTTTTATTTTATTTAGATTGGGAGGAAATGATAGATGAACCACGTTTAGATTTGTATCCTCTTGATTATGATGATGCCCATCATTCTGGTATATTTTAATAATATATAGAATATATATTATTAATTATATAATATATAATTATAGGATGTTAATATATTCATATAATATTTTTTAAAAATCGATTCTAGAGTGCAAAACAAAAGTTGTTTATTTAAACAATTTATACAAAAATATCAGTTATTAAATTATAATAAATAAGCAATTTAAGTTTGTATTTCCTTTGTTTAACTTAATATTTGCTTAAATAAATTGCTTATAACTTAATATAATTTAATAATAAAAATTTATATAATACAAATTTTTCTGTTTGATTTGAAAAATATTGAATATTAATATCCTATATATATATATTTTAGATATATATAATATACAGCAAAGGGAAAAAGTATTCATATATTTTTTAAAAAAAAAAGGGAATTTTTTTAAATGATTTGAATTTTTTTGAAATTAAAAGAAAAAGATGTTAAGAAAATGTTGTTATAGGCAAATAATTAAAAATACTCATATTTTCTGTTTTTTATTTTTGGTTAATTTTTGTAATAAATTTTTACATCTTGCAATATTTATAATTTTTTTGTGTCAATCAATTTCAATGAAACTTTATGTATAATATAATTATATTATGTATACATGCATAATTATATTATATTATACATGCATACATAATTTATTTAAATCTACAAAAGACATATTTCAAATTTTCATTATAGACTTATACAATAAAAATTAAAGTTAAAAATCATGATAACTTTTTTTCATAATATATATTAAATTTTGATAATTCCAATAATAATTTAAAAAAAATTTTTTTTATACATTATTTATTAAACTAAATTTAAATTTAATCTTAACATTTCTCAAAAATTCAAGTTTGTTCTAATTTTTAAAAAGTTATTCTGTTTTAAAAGATATATAAATATTTTTTTCCCTTACTACATATTTTTATTGCATATTTTTGAAAAATTTTATTACTATTTCCTATTTATATCATTAATTTTATCATATAAATATTATATAATTTATTATATAAATATTTTATTTATAGGAAATGAAGAGTTTTTTGTAAGCAGTTCAAATCGTCCATTTCAATTTCAAACTAGTGAGAGTAAATATGTAAGTCAATTTTTTCCTGGTGCATCTACGTCAATGAATGAAGAACGAGATGAAGATGGTGATCGAATACCACAAAATGGAATAGAATTGTTAAATGATTGTAGTCAAAATCAACAATATCAGTTAGGAGAATTAAGGCATACTAGAGATCGCTTGAAATTGAATTTATCTACAACTGGTCCATCTTTTGTTTCTACTAAACAAATGAAAGAAGATGATGTAAAACAATTGCATGAAAGAGAAAACATGTCAGAATTCTTACAAAGTATAAACTTAACAGAGGACCAACATATGCTATCAAATTGTTTGAATTACAATGTGTTACCAACGGTGCCTCCCAAAGACATTCAAGAAAAAAAAAAACTTAATTTGATTTCTTCAAAAAGTGCCCAATGTGATACTCAAGAAAAGATTGAGTCTATTGACAAGTGTAGTATTTTAACTCATGATTAACGTATTTCGAAAACGTTAATAAAATGTTAAAAATATAATTTAGCTGAAGTCCGTCCGAATTAATTTTGTTGCAAAAGTACAGTGATTATTCAACGAATTCACTATTAAATGAATCTCGAATTATTGTATATAATGTAACAAATTTTTATTGTGGCTAAAATGTAATCGATTGTCTATAGTATTGTATTAAATTTTGATTTATTGTATAGAAATATTAATATAAATAGAGCTTAATATTGATATAATTTTTTATATGATCAGCTTCATGATGATAAAAAAATATAAAAGAAGACAATCGATTTTTAAAAGCTAAAACTATTGAATAATTTCGTTTCATATTGTAAATATTTATTAAACTCATTCAATCACATAATTGTTATCAGAAAAGTAAAATTTGCGTAAATTATTAATGTTATTATTTTCATTATTTTTATTGATATATAATAATTATTATATTAATTTTTAACTATTGTTATTTTTAAATAACGTATATTTTTTCGATTTATTTTTATTAAAATTATATTAATAGAAAACAGCTCTCTATTCTAAAAAGTATTATAATGTTAATCAATGGACGGTACTATAATTAAGTCTTAATTTTTAGCAAAAAAATGTATAGTAATTAATGCACGAATAATTTGTTATAAATATGTATTGTATTATTACTTTTACTAGAACTGTGATGGGCACAATTTGTGCATTTTTATTTCAGTTAATTTAGTGAATTAAATTAGTGAAATTACAAATTTCATGTAAGTAGCACAGAAAAGATGCTGCCGTATTCTATTACATTTTATTTCCAATAAATTTAAATATTCTTGAACGATTTTTCACATATAATTTGTCTTTAATTTTTAATATTCAAATAATTTTTTATAGAATAATATTCTATGAAATGTAAATGCACAAAAAAATTTATTATAAAAATATGGCATTAATTATTAAATTTATAATATTTATTTGAATATAATAAACGAAAAACAATAATGATATGTTAATAATTATAGTTTTTACAAAATTTTCAGTATAATTATAGCAAAATATAACGGCAAAATAGATTAGACTAATATAAAAAAAAAAAAATATTTAAAAATATAAATAACATCAACATATTTGATATTTACATTGATATATAATTTCATTAGTATATGTGGAATCATACATATTATGTACTATTAATAACACTGCATTTATTGTGCAGTTTTACTACCATTATAATTATTATTATCATTATTGATAATGCTAATTCTGTGCTCATTATAATAGAATATTATAGAGAACAATTAATATATTGTTATACAAAGCAGACATTGATTTAAAAGTATGTGTTTCATTGTTTTTATTTCCTATTCCGTTATGACATATTTACATAGGAAATATTTTAATTTTATGTATTTCAACTAACTTTATTAATTTTAGTTTATTTTAGCAGAAAATGATAAAAATTTGATATATTGAATAAAATTCAAATAAAGTAATTAATTTGCTCAAATTCTAATATAGATAAAGAAAATTAAAAATTTTATTATAAATATTTTACTTATAATAATTATTTTTATAAAACATTTGTATAATATTATTTTATGTTTGTATATTATTAAAAGTTTATATATGACGTTGACGATTACGCCATAAAATAATAAGTCCTTGATAATCTGCAGAAGCAAGAAGAGATTCATCAAAATTAAAGGATAAAGCAATTGTAGGTGTTGCATGACCTTGAAGTCGATTAATTTTCGCTGCTTTGCCCTTTCTTGCTGAATCTAAAAGATGTATTGTACCATCTTCAGAACCAGTAGCTATTAAACATGTTTCCATTTGTGGGCAAAATGTCGATTTCACAAAATATTGTCTATAAAAAATTTATAAATTATATTTTATTATAATTTTAAAATTGTTATGTATGAAATGTTTATAATAATATTTAATTATAAATTACTTATGTTTTATGGGATATTTTGTCCACAAAGATAGAGAACCTTGATTATCAATAATATGATATAACAATACTATATTACAAGCACTGCTCACTAAAAGTGCTGGCCATGGAGCATCTTTTGAAAGCCATGAACGCCAAGAAAGGCTACTTATCATTCCACCAATTTCTTGTACTCTTTTTAATTTTGTTAATCGACCTGATCCTGGTTCTAATTGAAATGACATGATAATTCCTCTATCATTTCCAACCCATATCACTGAACCACCACTACCTTCACAAGTTAATGATAGAATCTAAAACAAATATTTTTCTTTTCATTCATTTAATTGTTTATTTTTAGATACAAAATTATTATTTGTTAATAAATTTATTATATTATTTATTAATATTTATTATTAATTAAAAATTAATATATGAATTCTTTAAGATATTTTTAAAAACATTGAATAATACAAAATTATTGGTATCAAATACATTTTATTATACAAATTGTTTATTTTTGACAAATTTTATGAGATACTATGAGATAAAAGAGTAAAAAATATATTTATCTTATATATTTTTAAAAGATTTAAAAACTTAAAAAATTTCGCAAAACTTAACAAATAAAAAATAATCCATTTAAAAAAGAAATATTTTATCAAAAATATATTACGAGTTTTAAAATTACTTTGAAATATAATTTTGTAGTTTGATTTACTTCTATTTTCCTTATTATATATATACACAGGATATCCTGAATTTAAATATCAAAACTTCACGAGCATATAGGGAATCAATAAATTATTAAAAAATGTTCTTTAGATTTACTCGTTTTGCTATTTTGGAAAAATAAAAAAAGAAACAAGACTTTCCATTTTTCTACTTACTTATTGATATTTATATATCTGTGATATTTCTATTTATTATATTATTCAAAATGACTTTTTCTGATAATACAACGAGTATACTAATATTAATTGTAAATGTAAATAAAACTGTTAAATATTGTTTTGATGTAATATATTACAGCTATAATTTCAATTTCTTTTAAACTCTTGAATTAATTGACATTGAATAAATTTTCTCCTTATATGAAAAAACTCATAGATATAATGTCTGCTGAATGATTAATATTTATAAGATATTATTTCTTCAATCCATTACTGTGAATAATTTCTGTTTAACTCGAACAATTCTGTCAAAATAAATTGATCAATCATCCAATTGAAATCACATTTTAGATTATATAATGTCAAGAATAAGATTATTTATATATTATATATATTATTTTAAATTTTCATTTAAACTTATGAAACAAAATTATAAATAGAAATATCATGAATACATAAGTGTTAATAAAAAAATGAAAAAAAAAGTAGAGTTTGTTTTTTTTATGATTTTCTCCAAAACAAGCAAATTTCTAAAATACTTTTTTTTTTGTTTATCAATCCCTTATATCAAAATTTTGATATTTAAATTTAATTATCAGATTATATATTATTAAAAATTTAAAAAACTAACTTTTCCACCAATTTTGCAAGAACCATTGCGAGTATATATACCAGTAGATATATTTAAAATTTGTACAAGTCCCTGAGAATTGCCAGCAACAACTAAATTATTATTTATAGGTATAAATCCACAACACAAAACTTCTGCTTGCTGTTGATCATTAACAACTCTTAAACAAGTTGGATTGTTTTCTATATTCAAAACATTCCAAAGTCTTATTGTGGCATCCAAAGAAGATGAAACTATAAGATCATTACTGATACTCCAATCTAATGAAGTAACACCTTTTTTATGACCTTCTAGTAAGACTATTACTTTTGGAGGAATACTAATGACATCACATATAGATAATAATCCATCTAATGATGCACAACATAGCTTTGATCTATCATTATTTGCAAATTTAAGCATCATTACTGGTGCATTGTGTTGATCAAAAACATGATGCACTCCATCAAATGCAAAACTTTCTGCAATTGATTTTCGTTGTATGTTATAAAGTTTTGTTTTAGTTTCTGATCTTTCTTCTTCTGTCGTATAATTATTAAAACTATTTTGTTCTAAATTTTCGCCATAACGTAGAAATAACAATCTTGCTCTCAATCTAAAATAATTTTCTCTAATTTTGGAATTTTTACTGAACTTTTCTTTTAATAATTGATTTCTGCGACGAATATAAAGCATTCCTGTAATTATATTATTTTTTAAATTTATATATTGCAATAAATTGTATCACAAAACATATATGTACAAACCTAAAGTAGGTAATTTGTTTACACGTTGTGCATTGTATTTAGCATCAAGAGCAAAAACTTGTTGATGCCACATAGTAACCATTTTATATGTATTTTATATTATAGAAATTCAATATCAAGTATTAATTAATTTATTAAAAAGAAAATTTTATTTGTTAAGATTTAACGTTATATAAACATCGATATCTAACCTATTAAATAATCTTTGATCTGTAGAAAATTAAAGATACAAATGTTTAAAACATATTTGTACCATTTATTCTTTTTTACATTATTCCCTCTTTCCTGATTTATTTATAACTTGAAAACACACATTATATTGATTTTATTTTTATTAACATATTTTAAGAAACTTTTATTAATTAATAAGTTTTCATTTATGATATATTACTAAATTGATACTTAACATTCATACTTAATATTTTTTTTAAATATAATATATTCAAAAAATATTAAATTGATTTACTTTCATTTATTTTCATTTTTGATTGTTATATGAGTATATTTATATACTACATATATAATTTTGTTTATTTGTATATGTTATACATATAAAATATTTGTATAAATGTATATAAATTAATTCATATTAAATTTTTTATTAAATCCCGAATTCAATATTAAAATATTTTTTTAAAATATTTTTATAAATTTAAGTAAAATTTAAAATAAATTATTTATTTATATAAATAAAATTATTTTGTAAAAATTGATATATAAAATTTCTATTATTATTACAAAATATAATATATAATATAAAATATTGTTTATTTTAATAATAATTGAAATTCTAATTCATTTTTATTTACTTAATAATGACTTAATAATGAAATAAGTTAAATTTAAATAATTTAAATTTGTTAATTTTGATTTATATATTTGCAAAAAATATAATATTGTAATAATTTGTTATAATTTGTATATATATATATATATATATATATGTGAATTAATTTTATAATTAATATTAAAAATTTTAAATATTGTTAATTAAAAAAATTAATTCTGCAAAATTTTAAACTTTCAAAAGTACTTATATAAATAATTAAAGAATTTAAAAAATTCTTCATAATATAATTTAAAAAATTATAGAGCAATTATAAAATTAAAATATTTTACACATTTATATTGTATAAATATCACAAAGTTCCTTTTAATACATTTATTTTTAGATATTTATATTTATTACACAGTAGTAGCTATTTTTTTTATTAATTATAGAATAATTAATTGTGCGATGCATTTTATATTTTTATTTGGTAAGTTATTATTTAATAAAAACATAAAAGATATTACCACTTAGTAATTGTCATAAGGAACTGCTTTATTTAAATTTTTAAATATATTCATATTTTTTCATTTTCTGATATATTTTGTATTTTTTTCTATTTTCTTATTATATATTACATTTGATATATTTTTATTTGATAAACTTATAAAATGAAAAATGTTCAAAAATATCCATAAATATAAAAAAAAATATTTGTATTAATTTTTTTAATTAGTAATTCTTGAAATGATTATATTCATTTAAATAGACTTATTTGGAATATATAAAGATGTTTTAAAAATATGGAATTCAATATGTATATAAAAAGATATATAAGAAATATATATAATATATAAATTATTTACCAAATAATTATAAAAATATTTATGTAATTAACATAAATAGTCTAATATATTTCTAATTTTTAATGTTTTACGTAAGTACTTTACATAAGCTAAAACATTTTATAAAAATTTGTTATGCTTGAAAGAGAAATGAAATATTTATTTAAAATATTAATTAATAAAATTGAATCATATATGTATATGTAATAATGTTTCTTAAAGAAAAATTTCTTTAAAGATAATATGTTTAATATGTAAATTTAAATTTATTAACTTTTCAAACAATAAACTTAATTTCTAAATTAATTTCGAAATTAAATGATAAATTCAAATTTTAACGATAACATTTAAAATTATACATATGACACATGATATTCTAATGATAATCATTTAAAATTATACATATATTTCAAAAGCATTTTTTGTATAGCACAATATTTTATAGTCATTAAGTCATTAGCGTTATACAATACAGTTTTGAAATATCCTATATAGTTAGGATGATAGAATAATCTGTTTCCAGAAATCATTTAGTTGACGAAATTGATCATTTTGTTAATAATTTATGATTATAGATTTACATTTTTATTGTTCTTCTAGAGAGAACTATTCTACACTTGGTCTCCCATGACTCTCAAACCATCCTATCCATATGTATATATGTATAATGCAATTGCTAACAAGATATTACTTACAATTTATTACTTATTTACTTTTTTTGTGTTAGTAGTATTTCGAATAATTTTTCGGTAAAATAATTTATTCCGAAAAGTATGATACACATGCTGAATTGTAAAGATTTCAACAGCATCTCGTGTAAATACTTTATTCACGTCATATCTTCATTCGTTTACTTCTTAATGATAGGAATTATTTGTCATGATTGCTATACACAATGTAAAAATGTATGTTTTCTAAAGTGACTCGTGCTCGTCTTCTAAACCGACTTTTTCTGATTATTTTATAACTGTACAATATGTTATTAATCAGCATAAATAATTTAATAGTACGAATATTGTTTTACCAGACGGAATCGGTAATTACACTTTTCTCTTTATTATAATCTAATTAAAATAATACAAGTCATTATGAATACTTATTAGCGGTACACTAACATTGACATTTTTTGTTACATTTAAAACTTATTTTAGTATCAAATTTAAAAAATGCAAATAGTGCAGGTTATTCTTGTTATATATTTAAATGAAATCAATGTAATGTTTAATATATACTTATTCAATATTCAATACTCAATATTTTGATCAACTAAAATTCGATTTTATTTATGTATTAACAAATATTACAATTTTTAAGCAGATTCTAAAAATGAGTACGAATCAAAAGCAAAAAGTAAAAAAAAAAAAAAAAAATTGAAGAAATTATGAATTAGCCACATAAGATTATTATTTGGACTATACATTTTGTAAACATCAAATAGAATGTCGTAATATGTGTTTCAATTTTCTTCTATATTCGAAGAATTTCCTTATATAATAAATTTTAGAAAGTTTTAAAGCTGTCATAACTATTTAATAATAATTATAAATTATATGTTGACAAATTAATTTTTTATTTTTTTAGATGTATCATAATAATATAGTTACTAATCCAAAAACCATTTGAATTTCTTTGAAAACTATAAATTTGGAAAAGATAAAATAATACTCTGCAAACAAAAACTTTAAAACTGTAATTAAACTAAAACATCACCTATTACTTCTTAGAATATAAATTACATAGATATAGAGTAATTAGTAAAAGTTAATATATGAATAAGGATAAGGTAATGTATGTTTTAGATAATACAACTTACAGTATGAAAGGATTGTAGAAAGTTATATGAGAAGTTCCTGCAAAAAGCAGATGTTTGAATTCTATTATTTGAATTTTATTCAAGGCACCACAAGAAAATTATTGAATTCTGTTTGTTTTTCCTAGTATTTTGTGGCACTATTTAATCTGCAACGCCGCTTTTTATAAACATAAGATATATTAAATAAGTACCGCTCTCATTTTGAAATCAACGTTCTTTGAAAACATGGTATGACGGTATCTTCTTTTTGGTTTAATAGCTTTTTGTTAATAAAATATAACGTTCATAAATTCTGGTAACTAAAAGAAATGCAAGGCAACCAAATCAAATATATATATATATATATATATATATATATATATATGTATATATATATGTATATATATATGTATATATATATATGTATATATATGGGTGCGCGCAAGAATGCGAAACTAGTGCGATTATACATTCATTTTTAAATACCAAAAGTGACAACATTATGATGATTATAACTTTATATACCTGATGTTCCATGGTTAAATACATACAATAATTGTAATTTACATAGCATAGTTTTACGTTTCATTACGAACGGGGTGCTTTGTTTTCATGTAAAGAAGCACTTTAGATGTTAACGAGTCGAAATGCCTACGTCATACAAAAAAACTGTCACCCTTTGCAGTCGATGCAGTATATATTCGCAATTGCACAGTAGTATACAGATAGGAGATCGGGAGTAAATTTAACAGTCAATTACTCTTCTAGATCATCTTTTCAGTATTTCACACGAGAGCTACTCACAAATCTTGATTTTCTTTTTTTATAGCGTTTAATCACAATTAATTCTGTTCTTCCTCTTCCTCTTCCTCTTCTTCTTCTTCTTCTTCTTCTTCTTCTTCTTCTTGAGAAATATGTATGATCATTCTTTTCACGATTTTATACGTTATAAACGCTATAAATTCATTTGGCACGAATGCGCCTTACATTTGGAAGAACTATGCAATTTTTTCATGTTGCATTTGATTATTTTTTCTTCTCTTTTGCATATTACATTTTTATTAACTTAAAGAAATATATATATACATATATATATACATATATATATACATATATATATATATATATATATATATATATATTTATATTTATATTTGCATTATACACACCAAAAACTTTTTAATACAATTAAAGAATTATGTAGAATTATAAGTAGAATAACATGTTAAAAGATTTCTTTATAATCCAACTTAATATCTCAAGATATAAGAATACAGAAATTAATATGACTAATTAAAAAGTATAACATCTTTCTAACTAATTGCTATTAGTAGATTTATGTGAAAAATATTATCACGCCATTAAACACAAAATCTTTAAAAATTGCTTAATCCTTCCATATTCTAAGTTTCATTTAATATTTTACATTAACTTGTGTCCTATTAGAATCATAGTTTCACAAAAAAAAAAAAAAAAAAAAAAAAAAAAAAAAAAAAAAAAAAAAAAAAAAAAAAAAAGAAAAAAGAAAAAAGAAAAAAAGGAAAAAAAAAAGAAAAAAAAGAAAAGGAAAATCGTCTTATCTCGTGTCCTTTATATCATTTATGTCAATGTCCTTATTTCACACCACCGTGTATCACAATGGCGAAATGGTAGTTTGTCTAAAATGGTGCATTTTTATTTTTTTCTTCTCTTTTTCCTTTTGCAGTCCAATTTTTTAATTACTTCCAGTCCAATAACTAGGACTATAACCAGGTTTTGCTTGGGCTTTATTTTGGGAACTTGTATTAGACCTTTGGCCTGTACTACTACCACCATCTTGATGAAGTGGTTGATGTAATTGATGAGGCATAGTTGGGATAAACAAATGTGGTGTTCCATATGCACCAGGTAAACCAGCATTTTGACTTCCAGTAAGACTAAATGGCGGAGGAGTTGCTGAGTGAAAAGTTTGTTTGTCGTAAGACTAAAATAACATTAAAGTATTATTAAATTTTTCAAAAAATAATTTTTATAAAATTAACTATATAGGTACTTACATTCACTTTACTAAGTGCTACATGACTTTTTGCATACATAGTGGCGCTTATATCGGTTGCAGACGATCCACCAGTATTCGTATTTCCAGTAGATGTTCCAGTTTTACCAGTTTGTGTACTAGTATAACTGCTTCCTGCACCTTTATATTCAGCAGAGGGACCAGCAGATGCTAATGCATCATAACTTGCACCAGCTCCATATCCAGATCCATAACTTCCTGGTTTAGCACTATATGCACCACTATTTGTACCCGCGTTACCAGCAGTCGCTATCTGCTATAGTAATTATAATAAATGAAAATCGAATTTTTGTTAAAATACAAAAAAAAAAAAAAAATAAAAATAAAAATAAAAAAAATAAAAATAAAAAATTTGTATTCTTCGATCAACTTACAGGATAAATAGCAGGAGTTCCATATTGAAAGCCACCTGGCATTATTCCACCACCATATGCAAAATATGCATATGTTGGAGGAAGTGTAGGATTCATCATTGGTTGCTGATGCTGTGTAGCAGTCTAAATAAATAACATAAATAAAAAAATATAAAGTTTAAATATAATATTTATTATTTGATCAAATTAATGTTTAAATATAGTAATATTACTTAAGCTGATTTTATATCCATTATATAATTTTATAAATTTCACCTGTTGTGACATAGTAGATGGAACTGGAGATGCATTGCTGTCATTTCTAGCGAACCTGGCATCACTAATACTGGTATAGGCTCCTTGTACACCTTGCACTCCTTGAACACCTTGTACACCAGAGAGTGCATCTCCTCGTCCCCCACCAAGACTGGTAGCAGGGCCGGTTGTCTGATAGCCCAAGGCCGCGTCATAGTAACCAGTAGTTGGCTGCAGGTTAGTCAGAAAGGCCAAACACAAAACTACATGCATACACTGTGTACTCCAAATACAAGAAGGCTAACTAATATCTAAATCTACGCGTACTAGGTTTAGGGCAAGAACATGTGGTTTAGTTGTATCTATTTTAGACTTTCTTCAATTTAAAATTTTTTTAGAATTTTTAATTTAAAATTAAAAACTTTTTATAATTCTTAAAATATAATTACTTTAATATAATTTATTTATATATTAATGAATATATTAATATAATTAATTTTTTCAATAACTTCTTTCTAAAATATAATACAACATAACCATTTGAAAATTACATTATATATTTTTATATATTTTTAGATATGTAACATTATATAAATGAAATCAATTATAAAAAAGAAAATATAATATAAAAGCTACAATCAGTCTATGATCAAAATGGTATTGTATGTTATCAATAAAAATTTTAATTTTAACATATTAATTTTTTAATATCTTTCCAAATTGATCACAAACGTCTTTATTTTTCTACTAATTAGTGTTTCAAAAATCAAAATGTTTAAAAAAATTATTTAACATCTCACTATGAAAAAATATAACAAACTTTTTATGCCAACTTAAAGATGTAAATAAGAAATTCATAATTTCTTTATATATATATATATATATATATATATATATATATATATATATATATATATATATATATAGAATCGAAATAACGAGCAATTACCAAGCATTAAAAAAATAATTACTTCAGCATTCTTTTTACTAAATAATCATGACATAAAATAGAATAGCATGCTTCAGAGTAGTACATTTGAAATATAATTTTTTTTTTCATTTATGAATATTAATTATTGTTTAAGAAATATATTATATTTGTTGTATCATGTAAAATAAAATGATATAAATTTTTGAAGTGTACATTACTCTAATGAAGCATTTTAATGATATTAAGTACAAATTATTTTCAAAATTAATACATAAATAAGTTGTACTTGAGTCTTAAGATAAATTAATTAATTAAGTAATCAAATAATAACTGACCATATGCGGTATTCTTTGTTGCATAAGTTGTAATTCCTCATAACTATATACTGGTTGTTGAAATGCATAAGGTACACCTTGGCCCATAATATATTGGTGACTTAGCATTGGTGTCATACTACCAGCTGCACCACCTGTCATATTTCCACTTCCACTACTACCTGTTACTACACCACTTGATGTACTTTTCGGTACCGCTTTAGAAAACCCGTTACAAAAGATTATTTTAAACTAACTATATAAAATTTCATTAAAATTTTAATTTTATTTTAATTTTATTTACCATTAGAATTTGTTACTTTAGTTTGTGAACTATTTACGGAAGCAGAACTAAGACCTAATGTAGGTGCTGTTGTAGTTGCAAGAGAACTATTTGATGTTGTTGCATTATTATCATATTGAGAATCTTTTGTAGTATTATTGTTTAATTTATGATTATGAGATGCTGTTTGTGGTTGGCTAGCATATGTACCATATGCACTCGCATATACCTATAAACATAATTTATTAATTTTTAAATAATATTTAAATTCATTAAAAAAGATACTGACAGATTGTGCTGCACTTTGGTAAGCTCCAGATGTTTGAGTTATAGGTGAAGTAAATGTAGTAGCAGATGGTTGGTAAGCTTGTGGAGTCGATTGAAATGAAGACGATCCTTGATATCCACTTTGATAGCCTGTACTACTATTTGATACGGTATTTGTAGCTACAGACTGTGCTTGATATTGAGAAGTTGTAGTAGGTACGTATCCACTTGCAGATTGATATACCTATTTAACAAAATTATCTCGTAAAACTAAATAATTTTAATATGATATAGTACAATAATTACCTGATTTGTAGTTGTTGGTTGATTATAACCCGAAGTTGCAGATGCAGATGCAGAAGGAGAAGCTTGACTAAAGGTTGACGTATTAGATTGAGGAAATGATGATGAAGAATTATAACTTGCTTGTGAAACAGTAGCTGTTGCAGAATAATTATTAGCACTCGTGCCTGACGCAGTTTGAAAAGATGATTGAGTAGATTGAGCATTTGTAGAATATGCATTATAAGTGCTTGGTGTTGCAGTAGGTGTTTGAAATGATGTCTTTTGAGATTGATAAGTTGTAGTTGTACCATAGGGAGGTGCATTTCCTGGTGAAACTTGTGAAGTAAAATCTTGTTTAGTTATATCTAAAGTTTGTCCAGTACTGCTACCACGAGCAGTGAATGTTTGAGCGTTTATCGAATGTTCACTTGATACTGGTAAGTTGTCGCTATTTGATAACTGTAAATAAATAATAGAATTATTCAATTATTCAATTTAAAAATTAAAAAGTAGTAATTATTTTATTTATATTTAAATATAATAAAATAACCATTTGTGAAGTAGTATTGAAAGGTGTTGTTGATGATGGTTGCGTTGTTTCAATATCCAAAGAGCTATTTGTATTGGCAGTGTTTACAGTATTTGTAGTAGAAGACACATCTACACCAGTTATTGTATTACTAGCTGAATTATATTTTTCATTTGCAGAACCATCAAGAGAGCTTGAATCGCTACCAAATTCAAGTGCACCAAATTGAACATCAAGAAATCCAATGCCACTATTAACAGCATCTCCAGGCATTTCTACAGCACTAGATGGTATTTTTGATGGAGGTGGAACCCTTGGACGTTGTTTTGTTTGTCTTTGAGGCTAATATATTTAAAAAATATTTAATAAAAACTATAAAAATATTTCATAAAATATATACACATTATTTAATTACCTGATTGGATATCGAAGAGGAAAATGTATTTTGTCCAGCAGCTTTCAAATTTTCACTTGTTTGTTGGGTAAGTTGTGTTAAATACTGTGTTTGGGCAGCTGTTAATACTCCACCACTTATAGCATTTGGTTGTTGTGACAACTGCATTGCTGGTAAACTTAATATAGGCTGTTGTTGCTGTGTTTGTTGCATTAAAGTTTGTTGCTGTATTGGTGGTATTTCTGACAATTTTGGTAATTCCTTATATATATATAAAAAAAAATTTTTATATATAATATAATTAATAAAATTAGTATATAAAATAATATTACATACTTCCTGTTGTAGTAATGATAAATTTACATTCTGATTTGATTGTATTGTTTGTCGATCCTGAGGTTTAAGTTCTTCTGTAGAAGATACAGGTTCAGTTATAGAAGTGCTTGGTGTAAAAACTTTTGTATCTGCCAATGAACCTGTATACTCTTCATTATCCCAGTCTTCTGCAGAATCCAAATTATTCCATGCATCTATTCACATATTTTTAATATATGAGATAATAATTTTAAATAATTTAAAATATTGATGAATCAAAATATATAAAAGAACTTACCCATTTTTGGTTCTTGGGCAGTTTGTTGTTGTTCTTCATTACCTGTCCATGTATCAATTGATCGATTAAAACTATGAGTTGACGAAGCGGATGATGGATCATTTCGATTGGCAAATGTTCGAGGACCAAGTCCTCTTCCTCCACCTCGACCTCCTCGGCCAGGTCTGCCTGGGCCACCTCTACCCCTTCTATTACCACTATAACTGCCGTCACGAATACCATCTTCCATATTTCTTTCATTTTCTTTATTTTCTCGACCACGCCCTACATAAATATTTTAAATATGTTAATAGTATATATTAATATCATTGATATGATAATGAATATTATATAATAATGAATATTTAATTTTTTTTTAACATACATCCACGATTATCATGATTAGCACGACCTCGCATACGGGGAGGACCACCTCCTCGTTGATTACGCCTTTCATCCCAATCACCACTTTCATCTTGACCACCAGAAGTATCCATATTTTGTTTTGAACCACTAGGTTGACGAGGCTTCTTTTTTTTCACTTCCCATTCTGTTTTTACTCCTTCCAAAAGATCATTAACTGCACGATCCAAGTCTCCATCACTATCATGTAAAGCCATAACAACTTCGTCTTCTGATCGTCTAGTCATATCCATAACTTGCTTTATACGCTCTTTCAAAATAGGATCTTCACCACTACCCATTCTAGTGTCAATGATTTGTGCATGCCGCATCTGAACAGTGTTTGGCTAAAACGCCATAGTTTTTCATAAAAAATTCTTTACAACATTAATATAAAATCAAAAGATAGAAAAAATAAACTGTTTTTTCATAAAAACAATAGGTTGTATTTACTGACCTGCATTTTTTCATGTTTTATTGAATCCGATGATTTAGTTTGATGATGATCTGATTTTCCATGCTGTTGTGATGATTTATTTTTATTGGTGCCTCTCCCACCGGAGGACACCGATTTGTTGCTTGAACTCATTGCCAACTAAAATCCCACACACCTATATCACTCACTTATCACTATATACACTCTCTATTTACAGTCTGTAACAAAAGAAATAATTAATTGTGTATATTCAATGTGGCATAATATGAAAAACAAGTATTATATGGATTTTAAATGTATTTTTATTATTTGAAACTTAATTTTATTTTTAATTGATTTAAATATAAAAAATCTGAAATGTTATTATAATGTATAATACATTGCAATAACAAAATATATAGTTCACATTTTATATTTTCTAAATTTTCTTAAATATTTAAATTCATTTTTATAATGAATTATAAATTTTTAATATTAATTACAAATTTCATATATTTAAAAGTATAATAATGTCTGTAAATGTTATAAAAGAAAATATTTTTTTTTACAAAAATATATGACAAAATTATAATTAATAAATATTTACATGTAATATATAAAATAAAATAATTATTGATAAAATTAAATATATTACTGATTTTGAATTATAAAACATAACTTATAAATAAGATATATACTTTCAACTAAAAATGCATAAAATAATTAAAATCTTTTAATATTGTAATAAAATTGATCTAGCAAAATACATTTTTAAATAAATATTAATATAATTTTATTCTAAAGAAAAGAATTTAAAATAATCTTAATTACATATCAAAAATAAAACAAAATTATAAAAAATCAGATTAAAATTTAAATATTAATTAAATTTATATATTAATGTAAACAAAAAATCATATAAATGTATAAATAAATTAATATTTATAAAAAAGATAACTATAATTTACTCATGTAAGTTTTTCCATATATCATAGAAATTCTATAATCATGATTACTTATACATAATAATGCTTAATAAAATTAAATTATATAAAGAATTGAACTGAAAAAATAAAATACATATAAAATTATGAATTTTTGAATACCATCATTACCCAAAATCCTAATAATTATATCATAAATATGGATTGAAAATAACCTACATAAGAAAAATAATTGGTATATAAAAATATTTGTATGATTATAATATATATGAAGCATAATGTTAAATCATAATTATGAAAATATGTATGAAGAAATTTATAATAAAAAAATCGACATTAAGTGAACATCTGCAAAATACAATTTTATTTCTACCTCATGAACAGAGATGAAAAGGTTAGGGTTGACTAATAACGATAAATATAAAATTAAACGATTTAATAAGTATTTCTTAAAATAGTCACGTTTTTCCTAAAACGGTTGCCTAGAAGAAGAATGGATAACTAAGCGTCGGTGTGATATGCAGAATGATCTAAATCTTATCCACAAATTTTGTGAAATTCCCAAAGATCATGTTGTTCGATGTAAAGAATTAAATACACCGAAAAGATTCGTGTTTTTTTTTGCAACATAGGAGATTTTAAAAGACGATGAAGTAGTTAAAAAAAAGATAAATTTTGACGTGCGCGGTGAGAATATGACGAAGGAGGATTATCAGGCGCATCACAAAAAACACCTTGTCCGTTGTGTTGTTGTTTGTAAGCGAGTTGTGAAAATTCTTCAAATGGATGATAAAGAAATTGGCCGTGTAGAATGTTATACTCCTGAATCAGTACTACGACGTTGATGTAGAATATTTTCTGCAGACCATGTGCACGGTAGACGCCATTTCTGCTTTTGCGAAGAAGGCTTGTCAACCATCGCCGCGGTGGAGCATCGATAGATCTCCGTAAGACGATCGAGTCAAAGTATTTGCAAGTAACTCACAGTTATTATAGGCGTTGTTTGCGTACTCAAAGGACACGTCCGGAGTCAGAAACAAGCGAAATTCACGACGCCTCGGCTTTTTCGGCCGTGGCGCGCGAAAAACCACGAAAAAAACAACGAATTTGTTCGTACCTGGTTAGTGCGCTCAAAACGCAGCTCGGTCACGTGACCACGGACCCCCCTCCCTGACTTGGCAGCACCACCTCTACACTTTATCGGGCTCCATATAGCTAGCCATTTTATATTAGAAAGTTCAGGTTTGGCAACTAAAGAAAGACAAATTTTCTAAATATTCATAATAATAAAATTAAAAGTTCATTTTCAATTATATATTGCACATTTATTAATTATTATATTATAATAGTTTAATATTATTCAAATTATTTAATATTTATTCAAATATTTAATTAAATATATTTATATCTCTATTAATATTTTACATTAATAAAAATAAAAAAAAATTTTATTTAATGTAAAAAATATTTACATTTTTTTTATTTTATTTTTTAAATATTTATATTCTAAATATATAATAAATATTATATATTTATATTATATGTATATTAATATGCAACATTTTTTTATATAAGATTTTTCTAATATTAAAATATTGTATTTAAATTTTTTTTTTAAATTTTGAAACATATTTAAATAAATATAAATATAATCATATTACTATTATATATATTATTATTATATATGTATATTTACATATAAATATGATATGAATAATATAACATATAATAATTTATTAATAATTATATATTAATAATTATTATAATTCTTAATCATTTCTTATTTCTGAGTAACATTTTTCTTATAATAGTATAATAAGTAATAAATAGTAGAGACATCTGCTTCTTCAAATGTTTAAACTATACGATTGTGTAGCATTGATATATAATATAAAAAAATGTGATTAATTTTAATAACAAAGAAATTTTCAAAATAAATTGTTATATTAAATTTACATATATTATAATGGATTCATACATAATGCAGGTATTTTATTGAAAAACTTAACATATATTATTTTGTAATTAAAATAACTTAACAATTTTGAGGTTATATTTATGGGTTATATTTTAGGTCAGACGTATGTGGTTAAATCAGGATGGTGATACTTTAGCGGTAAATAAATAAATCAATAAATCAATAAATAAATATAAATAATCATTATCTATATCAATTATATAAAAATGCAAATTTTATTTAAATTTTTTATTTAAGGATTTGTTATCTTTACGACATAATCATGTTTTAATTTCACAAATTGGATCTGAAGTTGCAATAACAAAAGCAATGGAACATTTATCCACTCCTCTTGATGATTTGATACTCTACCATTTAAAGTAATTGAATTAAATCTTAATAAGTTTTTATTATTATTATTTTAATTATATATACATATATATTATTATTATATAAATATTTTATAAATATAATATTATATATTTATATTTTTAGAACTATAGCAGCAATAAATAAAGATGATTCATTATCTATGTATAATTATCAAAGTTCTGCAGTTCAATCTTTAACAAAAATTTTACAAATGCAAAAAGAAGAAAATTGGATGCTACCTGTTATGAATGTAATGTGTTTAGAATTAAGATTATTAGCAGTTTGTGCTGAGAATACAAAAATTAGTAAAAATATGAAACCTGGAGAAATTTTAGAAAAGTGTGCAGATTGTTTAATGGGGTGCTTTCGAGTGTGTGCTTGTGATAATCGTAGTTCAGAAGATGATACAAAAAGATGGGGAATGTTGGCATTAGTTAATCAATTATTAAAAATATATTTTAGAATTAATAAATTGCATTTATGCAGACCTTTAATAAGAGCAATAGAATCATCTCCATATAAAGCACATTTTGCATTAGCACAGCAAATTACTTATAAATTTTTTGTAGGTCGTAAAGCAATGTTTGATAGTGATTATAAAGCTGGTAACTATAAAAATTTAATATCTTATGATAAATTTGGCATTTTTATTTTACTCTAAATAATTATTTTAATTATTTTTTAGCTGATGAATATCTTACTTATGCTTTTGAACATTGTCATAAACAATGTTCAAAAAATAAACGATTAATTTTAACTTATCTTGTACCAGTGAAAATGTTATTAGGATATATGCCAAAACATAATTTATTAAAAAAATATAATTTAATGGAATTTGGAGAATTAATGGAAGCTGTTAAAAAAGGAGATTTATGTAATCTTGAAAAAGTAATGGAAAAACATGAATCATTTTTTATAGGAGCAGGAATATATTTAATTGTGGAGAAATTGAAAATAATAGCATATAGAAATTTATTTAAGAAAGTATATTTAGTGTTGAATATACATCAAATTCCTATCCAAGATTTACTTTCGGCTTTAGAAATGCATGGAATTGATGATGTGGATATGGATGAAGTAGAATGCATTGTTGCAAACTTAATTTATGAAGGCAAAATTAAAGGTTATATATCACATCAACATAAAAAATTAGTCATTTCTAAACAAAATCCTTTTCCACGGCTTTCAACCATACTATAATTATTTCTAGATTATATGTATTTTTTCTTAATAAATTAAATTAATTTTAATGAAATGTTTTTGTTGTTTTATTTATACAATATTGTTTTTTAATTTTATGATATAATTGTATAATTAATTAAATATTTATTCATATATCCATATTACATTATTTATTATTTATTATTATTTATTATTACTTATTATTATGCTCGTATTCTTATATTATTATATATATGTAAATTTTTTTTATTTAAGATATAAATTGTCTTAGATATTCTTAGATATAATATATATATATATATATATATAAAATATGTATAAAAATTTATATATATAATAAATATACAAAATATATTATATAAATATAAATATAAATATGTATAAATTATATTTTATATATAACTCTATTTAAGAATTAAAAAACATAACAGATTTGAAATTATGTTAATATCTTTACATGAAGTCTAGTTTACATGATCGGTTATTGGAAAGAAGATGAAATGTGAGACGGCAATCAAACATTATAAGAAGTGATTCATATTGTTAATAAATTTCATCTATTTATTAATCTAAATAATTTAAAAGAGAAAATATAACCATTATTTTGTATTCTATTAGTATATCTAACAAAAATAAAATTTATCTACAAAATGTTAAATAAAATAGTTAACATCATATCGATTCATAGTCTGATTGGTTAAGCCAGTGTTCAATGCAAGTATGGCCGCCCTGCCATCACCCACGCAGGTATATTTTAATTTTTATAATTTTATCAGGCTATAATATTTGATATGTTAAATTTATTATTATCAATCAATTTCTTTTTTAAATTTATTTTTCTTTCATGCAAAAATAATATCAATTTTGCCATGCATTTCTGAATATGATCCATTTGTATCGTCGATTACTTAAACTTCTTTGACAATACAAATAATTTTTTAGTAAATTGATATTAAATTATTTTATTTTCTTTGAATATTTCTTAATAAAATTTTTTAATAAAACTATTGCAATTAATATGAAATATTAATTTTATTTACATATTTGTTAATGTTAATATAGCATATATTTTCGGTAATAATTTTATATAAATAAAATTTAGATAAAATTTATGAATTATTTAAGCTCAAAATTATTATATAATATTTTATAATATAATATAATTTATAATATAATAAGTATAATAATTTTTGTTTTGCAGGTGGCTGGAAGCCATACTGCTATATATGAGGCTTATTATAACCAGGTATATTTTGATGTATTTTCTTAAATTATTTTTAAATTCAGATGATTTAAAGTTAAATATTTGAATAATTTCTTACAAGAAAAACATGTTAAATATAATTATATTTAAAGGTGGATCCAAATGGATATGGACGCATTGGGGCAATGGAAGCTGCAAGATTTCTTAAGAAATCTCAGCTAAGTGATGTTATATTAAGTAAAATATGGGATATGGCAGATCCACAATCACGTGGTTCATTAGACAAGTCTGGTCTTTTTGTTGCTCTTAAACTTTGTGCATTGGCTCAAGCAGGAAGAGATCTTAGTATGTCAAATTTAAATATAGAATTGCCACCTCCAAAAATGGTAAATTATTATATTATTTAATATATGAAATACGATATTATATTTATTATTGTTATTTATTTTTAGGGTGATATTCCTATAATATCCCAAAAAAATGTTATAAATACTTTACCAGTAATAACATCTGTCAATAATGGAGATTGGTCCATTAAACCTTCAGAAAGAGCCAAATATGATCAACTTTTTGATAGTTTGCAACCTTCAAATGGATATATACCTGGTAATAAAGTAAAGGATGTTCTTATGGATAGTAAACTTCCTTTAGATACACTTGGAAAGATTTGGGATCTTGCAGATATGGATAAAGATGGTATGCTGGATAGACATGAATTTGTTGTTGTAAGTAATTATTTATATAACATATAAGATATAAAAGTCATGATAAATAAATTTTAAATTTTTTAATATAGCTTGATATATTACTTATTTAATACAGGCTGTTCATTTAGTATATAAAGCTTTAGAGAAATATGCTATACCAAGTGTACTTCCACCAGAGTTAATGCCACCAGGAAAAAGAAAAGATTCTACTGCACCAATATCAAAATCTTCTGCATCAATGAGTGTAATAACAACAGTTCCACCACCAATTCCACCTTTACCCAATGTGTCTTCAATGAAGAATATGACTGGTTTGGATACAACAAAGGTATTTTAATTATAATAAAGTAAAAATTAAAAATTTTAAATTTGAAACATAAAAATATATGATTTAGATAAATATACAATGGGTAATTTCATCTGAAGATCAAATAGCAGCAGATAAACTGTTTTTGCAAGCTGATTTAGACATGGATGGATATGTCTCAGGTATTGAAATCAAAGATGTCTTCCTTCAAAGTGGACTTCCACAAACTGTATTAGCTCATATATGGTATATATATATATTTTTTAACTCTATTTACTGATAAGTAAGAAATAAAATTTTTTAATTATTTATTTTATTTATTTTTTAGGAGTCTTTGTGATACATGTCAAAGTGGAAAGTTAAATAAAGAACAATTTGCTTTAGCCATGTGGCTTATTAAACAGAAGCTTAGAGGTATTGAACCACCTGCAACTTTAAGCCCTGATATGGTACCACCTTCTATGCGGAAACCACCTGAATCTATTGTGGTAAATATTTTTTTATATGAAAATTTTTATTGAATATAATATTTTTATAATTTAATATAATATGATATATTTGTTAATTTAATATTTTTAAAATTATTTTATTTTAAATATACAATATACAGTTAATGTATTGTAATACGTTTACGAGCTTGAAATACTCTCCAAAATAGAAACATGAATACAATAATTATTAGAATTCCACCAACCATAATTATGCTATAATTTGTTTGAAGCTCTATTTCTCCTGTTACATTTAATTTTATTACACTAACAATTTTATTTCTTTGCCAACAACTGTAAACAAAATTTTTATGAAATATCATCATGAATTATTTTAAAAATTTATTGTTTAAATTGATAAAGTTAAATAATTATTTACCTATAGATATTTGTATCTTCGAATTTCAAAGATTTGAAAATTATATGCATTTGTGAATTAATATAAATTCTTCCTTGAGATTGATCTTTAATGATAGATGGATTTAAAACATTGTCATCTATTTTCCAAATAATTGGTATATCCACATTTAAGTTTCTGAAAAATTAGATAAAATTTGAATATATTTCTTTAATTTTTAATATTATTTTACCCTAGACATATAAGAGTTGCTTTTTTATTATATTTTTTATAAATTGTTGTACGTATAACTGGTAATAATGGAGCAGGCATCCCTTGAACCATAGAATATATACCAGCACTGTTATTTGCACTTTCAAGCACATTTCCTTTCTTATCTCTTATTTCAAATATTATATTCTCTGAACATTTTACCTGTTAACAAATTATCTATATTTGATTTATATATATAATATATAAATATTACATAAAATTTTTTTTTAATATTTAATAATACTTTGCAATAATGCACCATAATTTCTGTTTTTCTATCATTGATTTTTGAAATATTCAAAGCTTTTGGTAAATATTTACTTTTACATGGTATTCTATTTCTAAATAAACGTAAAACTATTTTGATTTTATTATTCACACTTTCATTTATAATTTGATTTTGAACTGTTTCTATTGTTTCATTTTTTTTATCTATAGCTAAATATTATTATATTATAAATCAATGTTATTTTAGGTTTTTTAATATAAATATTTATTATGTAATAATAGAAAAAATGTACTTTGTCTTTTATGATTTTCCAATTTTTCTTCTATTACGTTTTTCTTAATAATTTGCTCATGTGAAGAAAGAGTGCAGTATCCATATCGTATTTTTTTACCAATTGCATTACATTTAGAACATAAAGACCATTTAGTCCACATTGTATAAATATTTAAATTATATTCTGGGATAATCTCTTGTGGCATTGCATGAAGCATGTTAGGTGCTGTTGTAGGATATACAGTTCTTATTCCTTCAAGATCAGTATCAATAGATATATAATAATATATTGATATTGTATCTTTAAATTTGCACCAGTATTGACCAGCTTGATCAGACTAAAAAAGCTTTCATGTTAATGTAATAAAAATATTTCTAATAATTTGTACCTTAATATTACGTATCATTAATGCTCTATCTTCTGGTGAAATAAATATATTGTCTGTTTCATCTATAAGCCTATTTGTTTCATTATTTACAGTATTATTGAAATACCATTCTATATTATTGCTAGTATATATTTCAATTGGAGATATACATATTTGACATTTTAGTCTGAAATTTATATTTTATTATTTATTATATAATTATTATATTTATGTTTAATCATTTTATTATTAAAAATTAGTAATATAAAATTTTTTTCATCATACATACGTGATTAATGTTCCTATTAGAACTTCATAAGTTTTTGGATACATAATTCTTTCTGGTCCAATTTCATTATATGTTTCTTTTAAACATTTATAATATTCCTGCCATAACTCTTTGTGTATTTTTCTAAGTGTTTCATTTGCTTTTGGATATTCATATTCATTAATATCAAGAAGTAAATCACTCCCTTTATGTAAATAAAAATTTATTATATTTTTATTGAGAAGAAATTAAGAAAAAATTATTACCTTGTTGTTTATTCAATACTTGACTTATTTTTTTACGAATTTGATTATATTTTTTCCATAAATTTATTCCTGTTGAAAAATTAAAAACTATATACAATAAATATAACAGCAATTTTAAATGCATAGCAGTTTGTTTTATAATATTTCAAATGAAGCTTGATATTCGATTTTCAATTCTTTATATATTTATTTAATTTTTTATATTGAAATTAAGAAATATGTCAAAAGATTGTAAACATAATTTAAATGCAAGATTGGGCATGTCCTTATTGCATAAAAAAGAAAAAGATTTGGATATGAGAGATTGTATAAAAATTGTATCTCTTTCAATAAATTATAAATCACCTACAGCTATTTTGAAAAAAGAAAAAACAAAAAATGTTATATTTGCAAAACAGTTAAAAACAGAAGCAAGAAAAGCAAAATTAAAATCTTTGTATGGTACAGATGATCCTCGAAAAATCAAGTTTAAGACTCGTCGCGAATATATAGAAGAATTCATAATGAATACACTGAATGATAGTACCTTTATTTCTATAAATTGATCTAACATTAGATATATAATAGATCGGAAAATTATAAATAAATTTTCGCTAATAAATTCTAGCAAAAAAGAAGTTTCATTTTTTTTACCATTAATTAATAGAAAAATATGTTAAACATATAAGAAGAATTTAAATTATTTGGTCATTTTTTATAATTAATATAATATTTCATTTATTGTAAAGAAATATATTAATAAAAAAATATTTAGTTATAACATAAATATGATATGAGTGTCTTAATTATTTTATGTAATATGATTATATAAATAATACATTTTTAAAATGTAGATTATATTTAAATTTTAGTTTACTTATTTTTGTTTCTTACAGATGCAAAATATATTTATAAAATATTTATTCATTCATGCATATAAGTCATAATTTTATAAATATATCTTATATTTTTTAAATATATCTTATTTTTTTTTTTTTTTTTTTAAATAAAATGCACTTTAATTTTTAGGAAAACAATAATGTATCTGGTTATTCAAATCCAGAATTGGACATGATAAGTAAAGATATAGCAGAACTTGTAAAGGAGAGGCAAAGTATGGAACAAGATATAGCACAAAAAGAAGCTGATATAAAAATAAAGAATGGTGAAATTAAAAGTTTACAAAGCGAATTGGATACATTGGCTGCTACATTAAAACAATTGGAGAATCAGAAAGGTGAAGCACAAAAACGATTGAATGATTTGAAGGCTCAGGTAAATAAAATTGTAATATGATACATTTAGATTATTTGCTTGTTGAATGTATAGCTTTGCTTTTACATGACATTAGAAATGTATATTTGTGACTTGTATATAACGCTTTTGTTAAAATATGTAAATAATTAAATGTATTACAATTTTTATAACTTAAAAATTATTATTTGATAAATTAAGCTTTAATAATATAATCTAATATTGTATATTATTTTATTACATTATATTTTTTAATAAATATTACACAAAATAGTTAACAAACAGAAAGAAACATAAAAAAATATGAAAATTCTTTCTTAAATTTAGTATTCTATATATTTTTTTATATTTTATAATATAATTAATTATAATTATTATATTTTACAATTTATATAATTTTTAAAATTATTTCTATTAATTTATAATTAATTTTTTTTATTATTTTTATATATACGATTTTTTCTTATATAAATATAATTTATATTTTATGATAGATAAATATTTATCAATTTATTTCTTATTTTATTTTGTAATATATTTAGATTTTTCATTATGATTTAGTTTTATTATGTTTGACTTGTAGAAGACAGAAGTAGATAAAGATTTGAGTGAGATCGAGCAGAAGATACATGAGGAACAAAAAAAGGTACATAAAAATTGTTACTTTTAATAAAAGACAGGTATGGTTGTAATATGCAGACTTTATTTCTTACTTCTATGAAGTAAAAATTACAATTCTTTAGTACTAGTAATATTAATAAATAATATGATAAAGTTAGCATAGCTTCTTATAATAGTAACAATGAAATTAAAAATATTTAAAATAAAATCAATTCATGTTTTTATTTTATATTTTAATCATATATAGAAAAACATATACAAATTATGTGGAACTTTAGTTATATCTATGTAAGCATGTATAAAATATAAAAAAATGATTTATTCTATATTATATCTCAGTTTAAAAATGCTTTATTTTGTTATTTATATTGTATAATTAATGCTAATGCTTTGCTGTATTGCATGGTAAATTAGTTATAGCATAAATTGTCATAAAAAAATTATATTTATGTGTAATTCTTTATTTAAGACTCCAATCTGGAAAAGATTTTTTACTTATTAAAGTAAATTTATCTGTTAAATTTAATCGAAATTATACTAGATTTGTATTAGATTTGAGTCTTAAACATTATATAATGTAATTTAATATTTAATTTAATATAATTTAATAAAATATTTATTTTAATAAATGATTTGTCAATAATACATCATGTATTAATAATAGTAACATTATTACAGTATGTTATACATTATTAACAATATGTGTTTAATGTATAAATCTATTTATACATCTATATATAAATGAAAATAAATTTTATTTAATTACATATATAAAGATACTTAATCCATAAATTGTATATATATTACTTAGATGCATACATATATGTATATAATTAATACATTATACAAACATATTTTTATATATAAGTTATAAAGAATGAAAATTTTTAAATATATATAATTCTTCTTCTTTTTACATAAAGAATTAATTTTTATATATTTTATTATTAACAATAGGTTGATAAATTACGTCAACAAGCAGAAGAACAAGAATCAGTATTGCGTACTCAAGAAGAAGAACTGAATTTTAAACGACAAGAATTAGAAGGCTTGAGACAAGAAGAACAGCAATTAGAACAACAGCAAAATAAAAGCAGGGACCAATTAAACGAACTTACTAAAAATTTACAGGATACTCAGCTGCAAATTTGTCAAGCAAAAGCAAAAATTACTCATTTACAAGAACAACAACGTCAAATGAGTGATGCAATTGCACTTTATGACTCTGCACTTGCAGCAGGAGATGCCACTCTTGTACCTGATACTAGTCTGCAATTTAATCCTGAAATTGAAAATTTAGAGTATGTATATATGTATAAATATTATTTTTAACTGTATATATATAATTGTTATAATGATATTTCATTACTTTTATGTAAAAATCCATAGATATGAAAAGACGAATGAGGAAGACAAAATTCAAAATAAGAAAAACGTTTCCTTTTCTAAAACAAACGAAAAAACATTAGATGGATTTGAACAAGATCCTTTTGCAGAAGCATTTAATGCATCAACACCAGATCCATTTGGAAATGCATTTTCATCCCCAAGTATCACTGTAAGATTTTTTAATTTAAATAATTATATATATTTAAAATAATATATAAATATTTATATATAATATTTAAAATAAATTATATAATAAATAATATAATTTAATATTCTTATATTCATAATTATAGGGAGGATTCACAGCTGATCCATTTAGTGTATTTGATGATAACAATATCGCAAAGCAAGATCCATTTGATCCATTTGGAGATGGAAAAAGAAGTGACACTAAAACTATTTCTACAACATCAGTAAGTCATTAAAGAAATTTTATATAAAATATATTTATTTGATTCATTTATTAGCCCTTTTTGTTTTAGGCAACAAAAGATCCATTTGGAGATGATCCATTTGCAAATCTTCATGCTCCACCTCGACCAGAAAGTCCTAGTCCTGCTCTTCCTCCAAAAAAAGCAAAACAACCACCACCACGACCAGCACCTCCAAGACCAGCTCAAGGACCTACTGGTCCTTTACGAGCAGCACCAGCACCACCTACTCCTTCTCCTACTCCTGATCCTTTTGCAAATGCTTTCTCTACTCAGCAAGGAATTATGGATAATAATAACAGCAATAATTTTAATACATCTACTGGATTTGCAGATTTTGCTAATTTTGATTCCAAGGTATGTATTTTCAAATTTTCAAGTTTGGCATAATATTGTTGAAAATTATATTCTTATTTTAATAATTATAATAATAATAGTAGAACAATTATTTTTTTTGGTATTTTTAATTATAATGATTTCTTTGTTTTTTTTTTTTTGTTTAAGTGTTCCCATATATCTTCCTGGCCATATCCTTTCCTTCCTCAGATTTGTCAATCTCTAGTATGTTATATATTGTTCACTGTATATTTTAAATATAATTATTTTTAATGCAAAGTAAAATATATTGACATGAGTAAAATATAATTTTAAATAAAATATTTGTTTAAATAATAATATAAAGAATAATTATTTACATTTCTGGAAAGACATTTAATATATAATATATAATAATGCATCATTTCAATATATTACAATATAATTTTGTAAAATACATTTATATCAGAAAAAGATTAATTATATATATTTTTTGTTTTATATTTAGGTAGAAGCTGCACAATTTTCAGTTTATTCATTGACCTGGCTCCTGGAGCATGATGTCTACAAATTAATTTGTTCTAATTATTTCAGTATTACGTTTTCTTTTTATGATACTGCATGACAATTTTTATATTATTTAATTATTTATAATACTCACAAAAAATATTTGTACAATTAATTAAATCCAAGTAATTTCATATCATTAGCAAAATTTTATATTATTACAACAATTTAATACTATACGAATGAAAAGCACATATTAAAAAAATCTTTCATTGAAAATTAAATACATATATAAATATTTTTTGTAGTCACTATATATTTAAATAATTATATAAAATGTTCGAGTTAATTTACTAATTATGTTTTACATATTATTTAATTTATTTAATTATTAATGTTATTATTTAATATTATTTATATATTAAATATTTTATTCCTAAAAATTATTCATTTTTTTATTTTTTATTTTTTGTCTTTTGAATTTCTTATATATTTATTACTATATATATAATATATAATATATATATAATATAATTATATATAATATATAAGAGGAATAGATTAATTTAATAAAACATTTTAGAATATATATTTTATTATAGAATATAATTTTTCATATTTTTATAAT